GCGTGGCTTTCAAACAAAAAGGCATTATTTGGATTGTCGGTTTGGACTCCGCTCCGGATGATGGTGGTGATGATGGTCATAGTGACTATGATGATGGTGGTGATGGTGATGGTGATGGCGATGATGCTGGTACTGATGGTGATAATGATGATGACTATGATGGTGATGATTGTAATACTGATGGTGATACTTATGGTGAGACTGATGCTGCACATGGTAGTAAAAATGAGGAGCATGTCAAACGCAGTGATGATGAAGCTGGTGATGATGGTGATGACGAGAATGAAAATGGTAATGATGATGCTGGTGTTGATGGCGATGCTTATGGTTGTGATGACGGTGGTGCTGACACTGATGATGATCAGGGTCACGAATATGATGACGGTGATGGTGCTGATGCTGCTGATGCTAATGATGCAGCTTCGAGCAACGCGTCCTATGTCCCAAGCCATTCGCGAGCGACCCGCCGCAGCCAACACCTCAAGGTGCTAGGTGTAAAATGTACGAGGGGCGATCCAATTCACCGCGCCCTACGATTGTGGTAAAGTTTGAAAGCCATTGCTCGGAGGAAGACTGCGCGCTCCCGCGAGGTCTCCCCCGTGCACTCGTGCTCCTCTCCGAGACCCAGACGCGCGATGACCGAGCAGGGGAGGAAGGAGCGGGGTAAGGCGACGAGGTGAAGCAGGCGAGGGCAGGAGAGGTAATGTGAAATCGAAGCAGGCCCCCCTTCGCACCCAAAGACGCACCCCCGCTGACCCAGGATGTGCATTCTGCGGGTGGTGATCCCCCCGCCCGAGAGGGTTTTGAGGACGGACCAAAAGATGGTCGGGCGGGTTTTGGCCAGGACCGCACGCAGCTCGGACCAGCGGGGGGCGATGGGCGGGACCTGCACCGTCGGGAGCCATGGTTCCACGCGCTTCTTCAGCGTCAGGTGAAAACGATATGGGTACAGCACTCGGGAGAGGGCACGAATGTAAATTGCTTGCCATTTCGGGCGTTTTTGAAGCCTCTCGGCGAGGGGGTCTGCTTGGTTGGCCCGGGCAGCCGCGGAACGCTGGGGGCTACAGGGGACCTTCGGTGGCGCGACCGAATCGAGACGGGCGCGCAGGAATTGCACGATGCTCTGGTCGCGCCAGAGCGGCGGGGACCAAAGCTGCTGAACGCGGTGAACGATGGCGTTGCCCGACCACGAGGCTTCAGACAGCTCGTCGTGCCAGACTTGAAACTTGGGAATTGTGGCGCGGGCCGTGCGCCAGCTGGTCTCCGCAGAGCAGGGGGCATGTCGGGGCCGAGCCAGGCGCCCGCGCGCGCAGCGACCAAATATCGGGGCCCGTCATCGAGCTCGGCGGCAGCTTGAGGAGCTTATGAATGCAGCGCGGCTCTTTGGCGAGCAACGCTTCTGGCAGCGGGTAGAACTGCGCTGCGTAGCCTAGGGTGGGGTGAATCGCAACCTGGTAGAGGCGGAGCGAGGAGTCAGGAGGAGAGTCGGAGGCCGATGTTTTGAGGATTCTCCCACCACTTCTGCATGCGCGCCGCCAACTGCTGGTCATTAGTGGCGTCGGGGCCCAAAAGCAGGCCAAACTATTTGGCAGCACCTGCGGCGGAAAAGGACTGCCATTCTGGGATCAGCTGGCGCAACGTCGTGCGCAACTCCTGCACTGCATCGTTTGTGCACTGGGCCCACAAGGGGACGATCACACATTTGAGGGGGTGGAGGTGAAGCGAGGCGAGGCTCGAGGCCGAGGTGAAGGAGGGGTAGAACGAGGTGAGGTACGTGAACTTAGCCAGGACGGCGCCGAGATCATCTGCACAGCCACCAATCGAGGCCTCGCGCGGGTCAGGTGGGAGCGCCAGCTCCAGCGAACGACTGATGGGGTCCATGCCGAAGGCCCACAGGGAGCCGCTGAGGGGGCATCCTTGCATGACCCCTGAATTTATCAGCGGCAAGGGGACCACCTCGTCGCGAACACGCGTCGATGTCAGCGCAAGCGAGTAGAGGCCACGAGTCGCAGCGAGGTACCCTGGCGGTGACCCCATGCGTTCGAGGACCGCGAACAGCCACGTGCGACTCATGCTTGGGCACGCTGCTTTGATGTCAAAATATGTCAAAGGCGACGAAGAGCGGGAGACGGCAGTCGACCTGTTCATGAAATCCGACCGCTCTCGCTCGCGCGTCTAGCTTGGCAAAGTTCTGGCACAGGTTGCGGCCACGGCTGAGCCCCTGTTGGATCTCGTGGGCCCTGCTCTGCGCCAGCTTAGTGAGCGGACAGCTGATGGCCGAGGCGAACGCCCTGGCGTCACACTTCTTCAAAGAGAGCGGTCTGACCTCCGACGCGTCGCGGAGGCATTCAAGCACATCGTTTTGTTTCTCGCCCTTCGGCGGGGACACAAACATGGAGGGGTTGAGGGAGGGAGGGAGGGCCAGGAAGGGCGCTGACGAGGCGAAGGAAGATGGGCTAGAGGGATTCTCTATGGTGGCAGGAGCTGCCATCCAAGCTCGACATGGAAGCTTGACGTGGAAGCTGGACATGACGTCGATGACGTCGATAAAAAATACGGTGGTGATGATGCTGCTGACGATGATGGTGGTGATGTTGATGTTGATGTTGATGTTGATGCTGATGGTGATGGTAACGGTGACGGTGAGCCCCCCCCCGCTTCAGGACATGGCAGGGAAATAAGCCAGAAAAAAACCCTCCCCCTTTCCCCGTCCCCCAGGATCCAAAATCTGGTTTGGGGGTGGGGGGTATCCGTGCTCGTCGGCGCACTCCCAGAGGCTCTGGAGCGTGTAAACCTGCCGTCCGTGGCCTCAATGACGAGCCAAGACGGTCCCGAATCGCCGAATGACTGGCCCAAGACGCCTTCGAGACGGCCCAAGAGAGGCCCAAGAGCCTTCCCAAGAGGGCCCCGAGAGGCAAAACGCAACGATTCTCCTTAGGTTATGTTGTGATTTCTGGGTTTATCGTCTCCTCGAGGTTCCGAGAGACCGCTCCCAAACTGCCCAAGAGGCCCCTACGAAGGCTGCGGGACGGCCCCAGGGGTGTCCAAGACGGCCCAAAGCGAGGCCGAAGACGGCCAAAGATCGCCACAAGAGGGCCCCAAGAGAGGCCCGGCTCAAGAGGCCGCCCAGAAGCCCCCAGAAGCCCCCAGTCGGCCCAAAAGAGGCGCCCAAAATCGTCAAGAAGCCCCCAAGAGGCCCAAGATAGGCACCCAAACGGCCCCCGAGACACTTCAAAACTGCCTCCAACTCCAAGCGGTTCAGCCAAGCCCCCAAACAGTTCCCAAGACGCCCACAAGAGTCCCGAAATAGTGCCCAAGAAGCCCACGACGCCTGAACCGTGCTCCCCACCTTTCTGCGGGTCGGCGGAATGGCGTAAACCTCTGAAAAACAAAACCAGAAAGATCGGCCGGGAAGCCTGTTTTTTTTTCCCGCTAAATGCGAGGAGTTGTCTACCTGCAAAGTGACATAGAACTTGTTTGTCGCAGGAGCCTTTCGGGATACATCGAGTCGACCACCCTGGCTGGTCCCACCTGTACGCGTTGCCTCCGAAGAACATGTAAACGTTTTGCTGGGATCCGAGTTTGGACTTACCCAAACTCGTTTTTGGGATAGTATCAAATCGTGGTCCTGCTCGCACATGGCCCTGGGCAGAGGCGGAGGGAGACTGGAGGAAGAAGACGCGGATGTGGAGAAGGTCGAGGAATCAAAAAGAGAAGAGGGGGAGGCAGAGGAGGTGGAAATAGCATAAGGGAGAGGAATTCTGGTAGAGACGGGCATGGGTCTTAAGGCTGACCGACGTTTCATTCTGAGTCGTCGTTTGACGGTCCTGGGGCCGGGGGGGGGGACGTCGGAAGACTGGGAACCTCCATCCCTCCTCCCCTCTCCCTCCCTTCCTCTCCCCCGTCCCCGATTACTTCCTATCATCCTCCCCAATCCTCTCCTTCTGAAGTGCCTGGCGTGGATGCGCGTTGTATTGCTCACTACCGTGGCTTCCGAACCTCGAGCCGGCTCTGCACCTGAGATTTATCCTCACGTGCCTGCACCTCAGATGACACCCGCTCTCAATTCTGCTCTCAGTCCCGTGGCCATTCTGGCGCTGGTTTGTAGCGGGCGTCGGCCAGAGTGAGAGTCGACCCTCCGATTCTGGGGACTGGGACGTAGGTAAGGACCCCGAGGTGATCTTGCGAGGCGCTGGCAGTCAGAGAAGGAGGAGGAGGGACACACACCAAGAGACAGAAAACGAACGCAGGCGGACAAGACAAACAGCGAATGAAGAGCTTAGCAGTCCATTGAGGCAGCGGCAACATAATTAACGACTTGAGCGAAACGCAGAGCGATTCTATACACATGGGCGGTATGAGGTCAGACATGTTCCAGCTGTGAGTAGGTGGCCCAACGGTGAGGTCGGAGGACGGATAGCGAGAGCCTCCAGCACCGACATATGTCCGAACTGGGCCGCAGCATGACCTCGTGCAGTGTAAGGTGCACTCCGCAGGCCACCGACTGGAAGACCGCAGGGTGCACCAGACCACTGACCTTCAACAACTTTATGGACCCGTCCCCATGAGCAAAGAACTGAGCGTGGCCAGATGGAGCGGAGTGTGGCGAGGCGGTGCGGAACAAGTTGGGATAGGATGGGATTGAGCAGTGTGGGATGGGGAAATAAACACAACCCCAGGAAAGTCCCCTATGACACCTTCCCTGTTCACCCGTCTGCTCCCCTGGATTCCATTTCCTGTACCTCAATGCCGTCTTCCGCCCGTCTCCCCTCTCCATACTGCCCTCCTCCCCTTCTCCCTCTCTCCTTCCTCTCCTCTTTATTCGGTGGTGAGCCAGGCGGGATGGGGCTGAGGTGGACAAACACACCAGGGAGGAGAAGGATGGGGAAGAGGAAGAGAGAGAGAGGAGGAATAGTCGCCCCAACTACTTGTAAGTGATATGAGAGCTTGAACCAGATCCCTGATTGCTTTCGGCCGCGGAGGGGGACCACCCCCGCGGCCGTGAGGGGCACCCTCGGCAGCCGCCGCCGCCCCGCGAGGGGGGCCGCCGCCGCGCCAT